GGTCTTAATCAGTTCCCACACAACAAAACCCATTAAATAAAACATCCCAGCTGAAAGCTTTGGAAATGAGTCTCAGTCACCTCCAACAGAGTTTGGGAAACTAAGGCTCTGAGACTGACAGTTTGTTACCATTGTGCGGACATATAGTCCAGGATTTAGTAGATGTGCTTTATTTCCTAACCATCAGAAATCTGGTGGAAATGTTCTTTATTTTTTCCCTGAGAGATATCTTAGATGTTTTCCTAAAGACTGTAACTCTTCCTTGGAGAGCTATGTTAAGTTTTATGGAAGACTGATTAGCTTTTCACTTGTTATGTGTATTTCAGATTTTAATATTCCTAGATTGTCTCCTCAACACAGCTGATGTGCATCATCTGCAGTTCTCAGAACTTACAGTCCTCTGCATCATCAATTACAGGGCCAGGAAAGTTGTCTCTGTGTCACATTTGTCTGTGAGTTGGGTTTTGTTATTTTAGCTGTTGCAAACAGTGAATATTACTGGAGAAGAATTCTTAGCATTTCCCCACTTCACCACACTTAACACTAAGAATACTTTGAATTCTTTCTTTCTTTGTTTCTTAGAATGGGATTAATAAAGGTTTAAGAATGAGCATTGTGATTCTGTAGAAATATTGATAGTTTTATCAAGGGTTTACTTCTGTGAGAGGCACTATGAATACGAGGAGATTTTTTATTTTTAACTCCAGTTTATGCTAATTCATCTTTCTTTTTATCATAGTCAAAAGTAAAGCAAAGTTAATGACCTCTACCTCCAGATAGGAAGCAGATGCAGGAGATCTTAGCTGTTCTTCCCAAGGCCTGTTATGAGTTTTGGCTCAAATGTCGACATGAGTCGACGTTTTACTTTTAGTGACAGGTTGGTTTAGTTTCCTATTTAGTATTGGTTGAAACATGGCAAATCCCCCTTAGAGACAAAATATTGCCTCCTTAACAGAAAATTGTTCTAAAAGCCTTAGTGACATTTTCCAAAGTATTTTGTGTGTTTTCTCCCCATTTCCTTGAAATTGCAGCGAGAAGGAATTTTATCATCAAAGTGAGCTGAACTGGCAAGGCATGAATGAGCACAAACCAAAGAGGCTCCTGGTTGTGCCTGTCTTTGATGAGATCCATACCCTGCACCTTCTCTCCATCTGCAGGGAGATCCCAGCTGTCATGGGAGTGTTTCTTCTGAGGATTTCAATTCCTCTCCAGACCCTAAAGATGTGACTAGAACTTGCCTGGATTCATACAGTTCATTGGGTCACTTTTATGATATCCTTCAAACTTTTCTCTTTTTTATTTGTGCCTGAGGGTTTTTTTGTTTCCTACTGGCCATGTGAGCAGCTGTTGTTGTAGGAGGACTAACACGTACACAGGTACTTAAACAGCAGGGCACTAACTCGAGCTAGGCAGATAAAACTCTTTGGTGAAAAAAAAAGGCAATCAAACAGTCAGGAAACTTTCCAGAAAAATAGGAAAGTGCAGGTTCAAATCTTAATTGTGAAGTGGGCAGAGCATGGATTTCAGCACAGCTTTTGCACAGCTCAAGCCTAGAAAATGGATCACCCAAAAATCACTGTTGATCAGTCAAGTCCTTGACATAACCTCTGCCTGGCAGTGGGGAGCAGACTGACTCCCTTATTCAGCTTACACAGTGCTTGTCCCACCTGAACTAAGGTGGTACCAATTCCAGGTATCACCTCCAGGTACCAAACACCTAACAAAATGACAACAGGCTCTAGAAATGTCAGCTGGACCATTATAACCTACATTTATAGGATACTGTGTAATTACTACTAAGCCATGAGGAGATGTAGACTTCTGTCAGGTGGGCTCAGATGTGTGAATGCCACAATAACACAAACTAATCCCAGCTATAAGCTGAAGCAAATTCCCTCTGCCCACATTTCTCCCGAGCTACATTTCATTATCTGTTGACTCCCTGATGCCAAAGGCAATTTTTTGCATATCTGCCTCTGCTATCTTGTTTCACTTTCCCCTCCCTCCAAATGAGTACCAAATACTGAACCCTGCTGTTCTTAATTCAAGCATTCTTGGGGCTTCTTTCTGTTTCATTTGTTCCAAAAGGACCTGGAAAATGGTGTAGAAGAATTATTTAATCAGTCAGCCTTTCCCATACATGTGACTGCAGGAAGGGGATTTTCTGGGCTGAGTCACCAAGGCCAACCTGAGCTGAGGATTCTCTATTAACATGGATGGGGAAGGAGATATGAGTGTGCCAAGTGTCCTTTCAGTCACTGCAGGGTGCTCCTGGAATAGACTCTGACATCATTTCACCTGCCCAAAGCCTTGAAGCTTCAATTCCTGAGATCAGAAACAGGCTTAAAAGAAAAGAGAAATCATTTTCCCTCTAGCTGTCAAAATCCCACATAAACTTTCAGGTTACAGGAAAAGCGTCCTGTCACTCTGCTGAATTTGATCAATTCTTATTCTTTTTCCAAAATTTCAAGCTTTAAGTGAATTCTTTTCCTGGATTTAAAAACAAAACAAGGTAGAAAGCAGGACACAGATGTGACATGGGACAATAATTTCACAGAATATTGCAAGGACCATGATGTACTGTTTCACATAGACACAGGAAATATCATATTTATGCCCAGATTTTGCCAACTGGATGGCAAGACCTTAATTTTGAAGTCCAGTGTCCAGTCTAATATGATCACAGCAAACAGCCAGAGTGGTGAACACAATTTATTTGCTTTTGCTAAAAATTCAGAGGGTTCTCTACACAGGGCAGCTGCTGTGAAACAAATTCAGGTGTGAGTTTACAGTACACACTCCATTTTGCCATCCTGTCCAGACACACTTCCCACAAAGCAGGTGTGGATCTGGTTGTTTTACTGCACTGGGCATTGGGAAGAGACTTCTAAATCCCCAAAGGCTTTGAACAGCCGTGATACTTGTGCATTCAAACTGCCTCGGGTTAGGCACCTCACTCTATTTATGCCAATAAAAACCTGTTCCAAAATCTCAGCTCTATCCCTCCCTGATCCAGCGCTTTTTGAAGACAATGGAAACATGGGATAAACTGAATACATAATATAGGGCTGCAGTAAAGACTCTACTGGGATTCAAAACTTGACATGCTTATTCTTTATGAATAAAAATCAGATTTGCCGTTGAATTGGCTGTGATGAAAATGCAAGAAAGCTTCTGAGAATATTTGGAAGCTTTCCCTCACTAACATATAGAAAGCAGATACTGATTCCTAAATAATTACTGAGACAAGAGGTACTTTTCAGCTGGAAAGCACAAAGCATCTGACTGCAAATATGATACATGGGAAAAATGACTCACATACAAAGGGGGATGATTCAAAATGGAATTATTTACTCTTGAAAGTGTCTGTTTATGGGATGACTTGAATGAAATATTGAAACTAAGGATTATAATGCATTTGCACGAGGCAGGAGGTTCAGGGACAGATGTTCGAAGGAAGAGGGGAAAGTATTACATAGGGGAGGGAAAGTGTTGTATTACTGCTAGAAAATGGACTTGAAATCCAGAGAACAAACAATGACTCTGTTTGCTAAGGCCTTCCACTGTTAAGATTGTATGTAGCTGTCTTTTGGGTAAAGAGATTTTTTTTTTGGTCCATCTCAATTCCCTTCTCTACCAAGTCAGAAATATAATAATTCTCTGTTTTGAAGGGTCATTGTGAGGTTTAATCCATCTTTTTTTGTAAGCACATCCTGAATGCCTCAGATGACATCAGCATAAGAATTGAAGGAGGCATTGTTTTAGGCAAAGAATAAATAGTCAGGAAGGATTTTGGTTCAAAGGATCTTGAGGCAAATAGTATGAGCATCCTTAAGCAAAATTTAGATGACTTCACTCCTGATGATAAGGGAGTATTCAATTGTTCTTCTCTTGAGAGCAATCAATATGTTGGAGGAAGACAGGACTTTTTTATTAATCAGAAAACTGTGCTGGGTCAGTATTATAAATGAGAGTTAATTTTTATAGCATTTGCATTTAAAAAAAGAGAGGCTGCCTTTCTCTAGCTCAAAATGTTCAGTGTACTACAGAGATGACAAGACCAGCATCAAAATATTATCCAAAGCACCTGACTCCTGATCCCCATCCTACACAACCTTGTGCCCAGTTTGAATACACATTTTCTCTATGACTTCCAGTGGAGAAAGCTTTCAAAGTTATCTTTTCCTTCTTACAGTTCATGGAGAAGGTATTTAATTTATGACAAGGGCTTTGCAAAAGGATAAGCCTTTAGAGGCAATACAGAAGCTGAAGACAATGGGTCTGAGATGTTATTTCTTATTTTAATTTACAGCATCTTTCATCTCTGGCCATGGTTGGATGTTATTTTCCTCCTTAGTCCTCCTTGTATCTGTTAAAGTATTAAACTAATCAAAATAGTAAATATTAACAAATCACAGGGGCTGTCATATCTTAAAGACATTCAGCACTATGGAGAAATTTCTTTGCATGATAAAATATTGCATGACTTGCAAAAGCATTCCAAGTTCCTGCAGAGAATTCCTCTAGGTCCACTTCAGAGAGACAGTAGCATCCGTAGTGATTGCTGCCCCCTTCCTGGAAGTGTTCCAGACCAGGGTGGATGGGGCTTTGAGCAGCCTGGTCTGGTGGAAGGTGTCCCTGCCCATGGTAGGGGGTGGAACAAAGTCCTTCCAACCCAAACCATTCTGTGATTCCATGTCTCTCAGCTCCTAGCTGGGTTTTCAGTTGCACAGGTATTGACATACATAGGTATGTTCATCCTACCTCTATGATGTGTTGAATGTGTTGAATGTAATTCTCCTTCAATATTTCCTAAATCATCTATAAAAGAGAAATAATCTGTCAGCATCAGGGAACCCCATCTAATTACCTACATACCTCACCCTTGTGGGCTTGAGAGTCAGGTGAGATGGTCTGGACCCACGTGCATTATTTTAATGAAATTCTCATAAAGCTGGATACGTTCTTATAGGGCTGATCCCATGACCAATAAAGTCAGTGGAAAATGCCTGCACTGACTTAAAAGCACAATTGCAAAGCCAGCAAAATCTACAGCCAACACCTAAGGCAAAACAGGGGGCATCAAAGTGGTGCTTATGAAAAACAGCAACTGAACACCTCTAAGGTCTAGGAAGCCACTATAGGTGAGGTTCATTTTGGGGTAGTACATTCTGCACGCTTTATTTCCTTTGAAATGTTGTTACAATGCTTTCTGCTCTGTCCCAAAGGATATAGGGGATTCCTGCAACATGCTGCAATAACAGCCAAAGAGGATTTTGGTTTATCCTTCTGCCTTGTGGTATGTATCCCAAAGATGAGGCTTTTCAATCCAAAGAAGTGTATGGAAAAATTTCTGCAAATGTGGGGAAAAAAAATCACCCTTATCTTTCTTTCTTGAGATGATGTGTCATAGTCTTTCCAGTTAAAGTGCTTTCACTAGCAATCTGCAAAGGAAAATATGAAATAGAATATTAAAAACTGGAAATTAGACATTTGCCTTTTTAGATGCATAATAAACCGTCAAACTTAATTAGTTTCAAAATACATATTAAGTATAATCTACCAGTACTGCATCCAAAATGAGAAGAAAGCAGGGAAAAGATCTGCAGAGCAATGTGTTTGGCATCCACCCTGCTCCTCAGAGTCACTCCTCATAACTGCCCAGGGCAGGACATCTCTTTCTGTTTGCACAGTAATCAGTCACTCAAATATGCAAGCAGTCCAGAAGAGGAGAGGAATTTCATTTGTGGCATGAGCTCCAGATGACAGGAGAAGGACAATATTCAGTTCATCCAAGGAACATTGTTAGATACCAACATTCAACTAAGGCATAGCCACACACACACACACACACGCACACACACACATAATTATACAGTACTAAGGTCACATCCAAAACTGCATTGCCTTTTGCATTCTACACTTCTGCCAAGGTCTGCAAAAATCCTCTCTGTCATGGTTTTGTTTTGGCTTGTGGGTTGAATCTTCTTTGTACTTATTATATCGATTTTGCTGCTCCACCACAATGAAATTTTCAATTTCATTGAATTTAAACAGTGTAATTCAAGACATGAACACTATTATCCAGGAGCTAAAGCTATTATTCTCAAGTAGAATATTTAATGAAAAACCTGTCTTAGAGGGGAAGGAAATTCAGAAGTCCTTAGTATTCATATAAAATTGTTATTTAGGATAGTGGGGATTTTAAGAAATTATGATCATCTTCTTCTAACCCCCTCATGTTATTTTGTACCCTAGCTGATATCTCACTGACCCATATAATTTGGTCTATGAAACCTGCACAGAAGAAATTTTTGAAACAAAGATACTTAGAAGTATAATATAATAACTTAGAGGATAAGCAATTAAAAGTTAAGGAAGACCATTGTGGAAAAAGGAGTATTTTAATCAAGTCACATGTTAGGAGTAGAAATAAGGATACTCTTAGAGCTCTGCTCCATATTTACAGTGCTGTAGTTAACGCATTGCAGCTTATTCCCCTCTCAAAATTGTAAAAGGATGGAAGGAGCCTTGAAAAGTCATCTAGTCTATTGTGGGAAACCAGCCTTAGGTAAGTGATAGCTGTATTAATCCCAACAAATGCTTGTTTTACCTGTTCTTGAACACCTCCTGTGCTGGAGATTCCACAGCCTTGCAAAACAATCCATCTCAGTACTTAATTACATTTATGTTTACATTTTTTCCCACAGGCTATCCTAAATCTTTCTTGTTGCAATTTAAACTTATTACTTCTTGTTCTACCTGCACTAGGACATGGGGATATTTTATTCCTTTCCTCTTTATTCTTAATTTCATATATGTGAAGAACAGTATCATATCTGCCTGCAATCTTCTCTAAAGAAAGTCTACATAATCCCAATTCCTTCCACTTACAGGTTGCATTTTCTAGCCTTTTTACTGTTCTTGTTGGACTTCTGTGTGTCTTCTACCAATGGACTACATCTCTCTGAAACTGAACAGAGTAATTCAATTTAAATTTAGCCAAACCAAGTAAAGCAGGAGTATATCACATTTTATTAATAAGATTCCCTACTGTCCTTGTCAAATAGCATCCATTTACCAGTCTTTGTTTTATTTTGTGAAAATTATTTTAATTCTACTCTGGTCCCTGAATATACTTTCAGAATTCACTTTTGGATGCCTGCATATTTATCAACCTTGTACTTAATGAGTTTTCTCTCTCCAATTAATTCATGAGGGGATTGAATATTACCACAGGAGACTACTGTTCTTGACATATTTCTTGGTAGAGAGTGTAGTATTGTCAGCCTTTAGTTTCTCAGCAATTTCTCCTCTCCCATTTACTATCCCTTTGACTTGATCCAAAGAACAGTGTTTAAAACAATATCAAAAGCTTATTAGAGGCAAGATAAAACATCTATGCTTCTCCCTTATCCAAAAGGCCTGCTGCTGTGCCAGAAAAGGTTTAATTTGTTTTGGCAGGATTTCTTCTAAAAAAATCCACGACAGCAATTTTTCTCTCGTGCTGTTTCACAGGCATTGCAATTCCCACTTACCAACTCTGGCCCACAGAGTTACCCAGCTTTAGGACATCATGGGAGACCTAAATACTTTGATTTGCAGAGGAAGGTCCTGAAGTGCAGTTTCCTGTCCCCACCTTACCCATGTGGGCTGTAGCAGTGTTGGCAGACTGGGAGCCTGTGTGCTTTCATTTTTTTGTCTGCAGATGATGATATGGTTGTTGTTTCAAGGTCAGCTGCAGCCCAACCTCTGAATCCCAAATGTGGGATTAAAAAGAAAGGCATTTTTAGAGTTTATTTGCTGCTTTTCACCTAGACCTCAGTGATACAGGGTTGGAAGCAGCATCTGTGTTGTTGTAGCTGCAGCAGCTGACCTGAATTATGAATCTTGTTGGATGCTGTGAACAAGGTGGCTCCTGCCCCTGCTCCCACCCCAGGAGCACCAGCTGTGGGGTTTTCTGCACTGGCCTCTGCAGAGGCTGCAGTGGCTCAGCTGGAGAGGAGCCAGCCCAGATTTGAAAGTCGAGTGCTTTGTTAGGTCCCTAAGTGTGTGGGAAGTGCTGGGCTGCCCTCAGAGAGCCCCTTGCTGCTTTGGGATCAGAGCTGCTTCAGGTGCAACCATTCTGGAGTCCTGCTGTCTGTGAAAGGCCATGCTGACAAACTCACTTTGTAAAGCATATTCTAGCACTGGTTGCACCTTCTCTTTGGTGACAAAAGGGATCTGTACCCATTATTTCAGTACATCATAGAATCATAGAATCCTAGAACAGTTTGAGATGGAAGGGACCTTAAAACTCTTCTCGTTCCAGCCATGAACTGGTTGGGTTCAACCCCTGTCCTTGGGCAGAGACACCTTCCACTCAAAGTTCTATCCAACCTGGTCCTGGACACTCCCTGGGATGGGGCTTCCACACTTCTTTGCCCAACCTGTTCCATTATCTCAGAACTCTCACAATGAAGTTTCTTCCTAATAGCCCATCTAAATTTACTCTTTCAGTTTAAAGCCATATGTAACAGGTCTATTTAAAGCTCTTTTTCCAGTGTTATCCTTTTGTGTTCCAAACATCCTTTTAGGCAACCAAACAAGTGTTACACTCTTTTGCTTTTTTCCTAATTAATGAAGACAGTGAAGGGAAATAGGCCTTACATTGTAGGGTGATTTCCAGCTCTGGTCTTTCATCAGCTACTCTACAACAGGCAACTGCTGGAATGTGGGAGAGATTGAGCTGTTGGAGTAACCCTGTGTGGTTGACAGGAAAAGGAGAAAGCAGAGGAAGACAGCCCAACTAGCCTGTAGATATGTGAAAACTGGGATATTCTTGGGTTTAACCTATATTTAATGAACACACCCTGAAAATCCATGTTACCCACCACAAACCCAGCACAATAATCCATTCCTTTCCAATTATCTTAACCCAAAATCCCAAAAGAGCCGCCAGATATTTATCACATACTTTAGAAAGCAGAAAGTACTTTCCAAAAGTCCTTAGAAGGTGGAGAAACCAATGGCTCCCAGATGTCCCAATTTCTTCCCTGCAGAATAGCCTTGACTGTGTGCTCAGATGGCTCTGGGGTAGTAATTTTGGGTCTCTTGGCATCAGTATGGAAAGGAAGCTCCTGCCACATGCGAGGTAGAGGATCCTCACCTGGGAGCTTGCAAACTGCATGTAAATCAGCAGGCTACCCTGCCACCAAGACACTGTGCAATGTGTCTCTTCACTCAGCATTATTGCTCAAAGTAACTTCCACTCTTTGTATTTCACATTCTCACCTCATACATTACGGCTTGACTTGCCAACAAAGCCCAAGAACAGGAGGGCGAGAGGTTTCTGTCCATCATGTAATAGCTACAGAGGTGGGTCTGTATTAAACTTGTTATTATTAACCCTGGGATGACTCCTGTTTAATTCTCAGAATGTAAAAACCAAAGATTTAGTTCATGGTATATTTGCAAAAAAAGCTCAGACTATACAAATAAGCATCTTGCTGCAACTGCAAGTAGAGGCAAGTTCCAGAAAGAGAAAAAAAACCAGTCTGATGCATGTCATCTTGTGGTTTTTTGGTAGATTAATGAAAAGCCCACACAGCATAATTATGTTTACAATAAGCTTACAGGAGTTTTCCCACAAGGTAGAGGAGAGTCATAGAGGGATCAGGTTAAAACAATTATTTAACCTTTACAGAGCTAAACTTGCAAGTGTATCAGAGGTAGGGAAAATGAACTATTTTATTGGTTGCTTTTAACCATGTATTAAAACAGCTGGTTTTTTGGGGTTTTTTTTATTATTTCATTATTTTCAGGAGCACATCCTTGGAGATTCAATTCAGATGACTGGGAAAAATATTGTTGGGTGCCTAGATGACTTAAATACTCCACTGCTAGCAGAAGTTTGCTCTTTAATACCATGAATAAATCTCCTCACAAATATTCTAAAAGTCTAGAAAGGCTCTTCACAGAACGTGGCATCCAGATTGAGGGGTTTTAATTACAGAGCAACTATATAAATCATCGAGCTCCACTGTAAGATGTTGCATTCACTAACATCAAGATTTTCTTTTCTGGAGCTGGTCTTTAGGGCTTGAAGCAAGTGGGCAGTGGTGGAAAGCACTGAAAAGAAAACAATATAGTATCATTTATCAGGCCTTTTGCAATGTCAGCTCTCCATTGTTCGTGCTTTAAAAAACCATACTTCTTGGATTTCCTAATCCATCAGAGAGACATGCAGTTGTTCTGCTTTAGACACTAGTATTTGTTTTGTTTATTCCAGTTCAAGTGGGCAAAAATCAAGTAAACCTGATTAATTCAGTGGTCTACCTATGGTTTTTCCAAAGGATATTGCAAGCTGTGATATAGTAGAGCTTGAGAAACACAGATATAACACCCTAGGGGATAAATTCTATGGATGTTGTTGACAGAGCATCTATCTAAATGATCTCCCAGCTAGTACTGGGCAAAATGTTTTGTTGTTTTTTTGGGTTTTTTTTTGCTTGGCTGCAACTTGAAAACATGGGGGGGAGAAAAACCCATTACTGCTCAAAATTCAAATGCTTTGGCAAACTGCATCATGGGGAAAATATTCAGAACACTTGATGTGTTTAATCTGAATTTGGGAGTGTTTTATTTTTACCAAGATAAAAAAAAGGGGATTTTGTAACAAATCCTCATTTCTGTCACAAAACATCAAAAAGATTTCTTAAAAAAATACTCTCTAACCCCACCCAACTACCAGCCAGCTGCAGCCAACAACATGTATTGCACATTATTGGATTTACACATCCAATAATAATCAGCTGGCGTATGAGAAGAATGTAAATGAAAATAATACCCAAATGATCAAGCTAGGGCTCTCCAGCTACTCACTCCAAAGCCATTCACAGGTGACTTCCATGCTGGCACTGCACACAGGTTTGGGAATGCCACCTCTCTGGCAGCAGAGAAATCCAGCAGAGGCACCCCAGTCTGTGCTAGGATTGTTCAGAAGCATGCAACAGGACCCCACAGGGAGATGTTAACCTTTTCCACCTGCAAATCCCTCCTGGCACTCCTCTGCTCCCTGCTCTGTCTGCTGTGTGCAGGGTAGGTCTCATTTGTACGGTGATTTTGGCAGGCAGCTGACGGGGTAAGGGAGGTGCTGCACCTGGGCGTGCAGGAACTGATCCTTGCCCCGTGTCCTACTGCAGGTGACATTTGCTCTTTAGAAGGAATTCTAGTGGCAACAACCAACAATAAATGAGCCCCTGACCTACCATAGAGCTACCTGGCCAGGCATCAAAAAAGTACTTAAATTTCTCAATGGCTTTTGCACAGTGTAGACAAGATAATGCCTTGAACATCTCAAAAACAAGTCAAGCATTTTCAGTCACAAGGTTTCCAGTTTGGCAACTCAGATCATATTTGTGCAGCAAAGATGTGTGATTTTCTAGTTGGGCTAGTCAGATGTGGGGGAACTGTAATCTTTTCACACCTCTGAAAATTACTAGAAACCATCAAGGAATTGGCTGACTCAATGTCTCATCCAGGAGTGGGAGTGGGAACAGATATAGTAACAATCTGAGGTTTTTGTTGCATATACTCCTCTCAACATTTTAATAAGAGATGTCAAAGTACTACAAAGTCAAGTAGAGATACTGAACCACCTGATAAATGGATCACATTTTCTGATTAGTCTGCATTGCTTCAAGCAAACAAAGCACAGGTAAAAGGTGTGACATAGCATCTCTCAGGTTATGTCCTTGTTCCAGATGAAAAGAAAAACTTATAAACATTCTCTGTCACAATAACTTAGAATTGCACAATGAATACTATTAAAACACTCTAATTTCCAATTATTTGTGTCTTGCCCAAGATTCTGTGTTGGAATCAAAATTTTCCATTTTGGTTGTTAGTTTATATTTGATTTTTATTTTTTTTTTTACTTTTCGTAGAAATTTAGGGTGAAATAGCCATTTGCAAGAAGGCTAAATTATTTTTTTGCGTTAAGTTCTGGACACGGTTGCCTTTGATTTCTAACTGGAATCTCAAATTTTACAGCTGGCTGGCTACTATGGTTGAGATGAGTCTTTTGCATTCCCTGTGAGAATCTGCCCAGATTTGGCAAAGTTTCAGGCTTTTGAAAAACCACAATTCACACAGTTTTAAAGACATTGATTGAGCAACCTCCCCAAAGTCTTCCTCTGCCCAATTCTTCTGTTATCTCAAATGAAGAAGTCCAAGAAGGTGCTTGAGAGGCTCCAACCCTGCTGATGGTCCTTGTGGGTGCCAGGAGCATAATTCCTTTGGCCAAATCAATTTTTTCAGACTGTCTTGATAAAAGCCTAGGAAATAAACCAGTAAATGTTAACTGCAGGATGATGCAAAGATTAGGAATCACTGAATTTTAATGGTTTGGTTTCTTGTGTCTAAGTGGTGTTCATGCAGATTTTCTTGGCTTGAGGACTTCCTGCATTTCTCACTGCCCTCTGTCTCAGTGCAAGGAGGGTCTGCTCTGGGACCTGACATCCTAAATGAAGGAAACATTTTAATTCCTGCCCTCAGTGCTTTCGAAGCATGAAAAGGGTGAGAGAAGACTAGAAAATTAAGGCTGTAAGACAAGAATGGATGGTCTCTTGGTTAAATTAGTTGAGTTGGATTCACATTTATCCTGGTGTTTGTTTAACCCATC